ATAACTTATAATTAATACTGTGAGATACCAATGGATACCTGGGACTCTTTCCCAGGGAGCAAAGCGGTTGGGACGTGAAGCTGACCACTCATCTTCACCTAGTGCAGAGGTCAAGAATATATGGATGTATACATCCACTTCCCCATAAGCCTTCATGGCATAGTGCTTAATTAGTTAAGCACAGGGATAACTTTACCTTTTACTTTGAGATACAAAAGGGATAAGAGTAAAGGAGAGACCCAATTTGAGATGCTCTCTTATTTTTAAATCGGAGTGTACAAGCACAGCGTCGTTCGAACAATACAATGGAATGGTTTGGGTTTATACTTGATATTCGTAAGATGAAGCCTGTCACGGTAGCCGAGCGGTCTAAGGCATGTACTGCTTTCGCTCCCTTGGAAACCAGGATCGTGGGTTCGAATCCCACTCAGGGCATGGATGTTTAGTTTGTGTGTGTGCGTTTTTCTGTGTTTGTATACACGTAGAGGCCTTGCGACGAGCTGATCACCCGCCCAAGGAGTCCTACGAAATATGTAAGATCTATAAAAAACAAAGTGAACAGAGAAGTTCATGGAGGTAGGCCTAGGCCCACTGGGGCTGTAGTGCCAAGGGAAAAGAATTCGTAAGATGAACTGTTTAGTTACCCTTAGGGCAGAACGGCGGACAGCCCGCATGGACTGGTTCATCAATTTGTATGTTGGGCGTAGATTTACAATCCTTCACTACAGAAGTAGTCCCCCTTTAAGAAATTTCTATTAACACCCCATTACCACTTCGCCTTCTACGTGTACTTACAATCCTGTCATCCCGTTTTAAGCTGCGTTAATTTTCGCAGTTGATATACCGCCATTAAACAACCCATAAACTAATCGACTCAGATATCAGTAGGACGAATAGAGTCAATAATGGAGAAGCGAAACAGAAACATAATATTCAGTAACTAGTCATCACAAGTAGGAATAGTTGCTGTGTGAATGTCCGAGAGATATTCTTCGCCAATTGCCTTCACGGAAATTATCCGGTAAATCAAATTCTGCCTCTGCGCGTGTTAGACATTTTCTGATTTAATATAATGACAGGCTTCCAGTTAAGCAGAACTTCTAGAAACCGAGCTCACATAATCATACAATCATAACATTAGCGTCCGGTGTTCTCCGCTAAGCTCTGCATGCGATGCCCCCAGTTCTCGGACAGCGCGATGTGCTGCAGTGCATCGGCCGGTTGCTCATGCCTGTCGGATGTGTCACATTCAATTCTGATAGCTTTCAGGATGAGTTACTGCATTTAAACGCCTCATTAACATGCCCCTAACAATCTCTTTGAACCTAACAGTGAAGTTAATCTGGCATTAGCGCGCCATGGAACGTGAAAGCCGCCCCTTGCCCTGTCGGCACAGCGCGTCAGCCCATCGGACTGTGTTTCCACTGCTCCAGTAACAACTGCCTGTAATGAAAAACTTTCTTGATATGTGGATTGTCATTCTGTTAATCTGTTCTTAAATGACGATAAGAGAATTTCTGAGGTTGTATGGAGTCGAATGGAATATTTTAGGAGGTTTGTGGGCGTTAAACCGCATGGGACTCCTAGGAAGCGGCCATTGCATATTTTGTCTTATTGTTTCCTATTCTGTTTGTTCTTGTTAGGTGGCCGAGGTGCTTGAATGCAAATTTTAATGATTTCCTCAGGACTTTTGGCAAATGCAAGAGTAGTGCCTTAAGATAGGTCTCAGCAGGTTCACTCCATGGGTTTTAACTCCTTATGAACACCATCCACCTATGTAATTGTGAAGTGTTGACAAATCTAAAATTAATTAAAGTTTCTTTTTAAAATTATTTGAAACTCTCAGCTAATGTGCATAGATTTCATGCTGCTGACTTTGAGACAGGTTGGTGAAGGTGAATAAACGAATTTGTTTACCTGAAGTTGAAGTCCAATATCTCTCCGGGACACCTTGAGGAAAGCTACGATGTCTGTACATCGTATTTTGTAACTGTTCTGGGATACGAACTGGGTACGCCCGGAATAAAAGTCCAGATTTATACAGCAAGAATAGTCGGCCCCAGAAAATTGTGAAAGTCTACAGTTTGCTTAGAGCTAATGGGAAAAGTCACGAGAAGGCTTAATGTAAAAACCCGTCGCCGGCTGTCGAATGGGATATTTTCTTACTGAAAATCGCACTCTTCTTTTTACTTCTATGCTGTAATCTGAAATATCTCGTTCATAAATTCTATTCTTCTCTCATTTATCCTTAACACGTTGCAGTTCTTGCTCTGGCCATCTCCTTTACTTAGAAATAGAGGGTAACTCTTCTGTTCAGGCCCACAATTGTTACCGGTGCTCTGCTGGCCCCAGTATCATGTAATTTCGGGTTTCCATGTCGCGGAGGGCTACCACTACAAATCCTAGTCAAATTATCACGCACTGTCCTCATCTTGAACAGGGGTACTCAAGTTGTGGATCTACAAAGTCGAGACCATTCTGATATTTTATGGGTTCTTCACACAAAATACATAAGCGGAACCCGTAATGGAGAGCTGTGGCTGTCCTCTGCATCTCCTTTCAATTGTTTCAACTGTGGATTTACTCCTGAGCGAGTCAGAATTGAAATTCTTATTTTGAGAACTACGCTAGTAGCTGCAGGTGTATTTGACTGCTGTTCGTATTGAACCAGTGTAGGCCATACTTTACTCCTACACGAAGATAAGTCGAATGTTGCTATTATTCTATAGAATGAATCGATTTGATATATCACAGAACGGTCTCATTGAGACCAGCAGTTTCATATGAAAATATTTCGTTGTGGCCAATTATGAACTATAAAAATATTTTGTTTTGAACATTTTCCATCATTCCGTATTCTGAAGTCTAGAGAACACGACGTTTCGGAAACTGGACCTGGATCTGGAACTGGTTCAGTGATTGAGGTCACCGCTCCATCACCCGAGGACGGAAACAGATCCAGTTTTCGAAACTTTGTGTTCTCTAGTTTTTAGAATAATGGACGAAGGACAAAGTCCAAAAACCCAATGATTCCGAGTCTTATACACCATTGTCAGAACTCTTTAGAATCTACGTCAGAACTCAGTGTACCAGAAAGCCGAAAAATAGAAAATCAATTCCCAGAAGGGGTAAGAGATTACTCTCTCCTCCATCCTGTCCATACCGGCTCTGGGGCCCATGCAGCCTCCTATCCAAAAGGTTGAGGGGGCTCTTTCTTCTGAGATAAAGCCGCCGAGACGTGAAGTTAGCTCACCTCCAAGTGCCAAGGTTAAAACGCGTGGAGCTGTACCTCTTCTCCCTCGTACGTCTTCACAGCATGATGTGAAAACATCACGGAGCAACCTTGACGTTGGCCGCGTCATAGCTCAAGAGGTTAGTCGCTGGCTTCCCACCGCTACGGCCCGGGTTCTATCCCGGGTCTGGTCAAGTAGGATTTGTGGTAGACAAAGTGGCGGTGGGGAAGGTTTTCTCCTGCTACTTCGGTTTCCCCTGCCAATCTTGATTCCGCCAATTGCTCCACAATCACCCTTACCTATCATCTGGAGCTGTTACAATAAGCCAGAAGTGGCCGCAGTAAAAGGGACTTAATCCCACCCCACTAGCAATCAGAAAGTACGCTCTGCGCTTATTCCTTGACTTGTCAGATACTTGATGACAGTCCTCTGACAAAGGGATCAGCCCATCGCAAGCCCATTTACGAGAATTTGTCTAAAATAACTTAGTGCGAGTTAGATGAGTAAGGACATGGATTTATTTTCCTACCAGGATTCGAACCTGCGATCCCAGTGTTCGTTCGGAGCAAAACAACGCGTCAGTTTTTTATTAGAGGATAGTAACATTAATTTTCAAAATTAATTTCTACCGACCACAATGGCCGCGCTGTCTGTATGGGTTCTTTCGTTGAAATCCCACTTGCTGCATGGATGTATGCTTTGTTCGCCTGTGTGTCTAAAAGGACTTTCGACGGACCGGACCCTCGCCGGCGTAGAAACACTCGAACCAGGCGGCCACCTGGAACTGCACAATTTTAAGGGCGCTACATTTTTGTGTGTGAGTGTGCTCTTCGTCAAACTAAAAGTAATTTTATTGAGAATTTGTTTATATCATGACAATTAATTGGCAGTAATCTAAGCATGATGTGCCACACTGTAATTAAAACTGTTTTAGGAATCACGGGACCTATGAAAGCTGTTATCACAGAGTCTGCAAATTTCGTGTTACTAGTTATAATGAAGTTTTGAGACAACTGGTATACTTTCAGTTGAGGAGCGGAACTTTCTGACACCTGAGGCGGCATGAGGGCTTCTGCCTTCTCTGGAAATATCCTATAGAATATTGTGACATGTAGACCCATGTCTAAACCACGTCTGAAATACAAGCAAGCAACAGCAGAAAAGGCGGAGTTTGTCTCATATATATTGTGTGAGTGTAACAGGATGCTTAAATATAATATAGTAAGCAGAAAAGGCATTGCAAGAAGTGTTTTCTGTGTCGTTGGCGCCATGCCCATTTCTAAGCAACGGTGCGGTAAAAAGGCTTTGTCAACAATACAGACGAAAGTGTTTTCCGTGGGGTCCTTGCCGAGGAGTTATTCTGAAGACAATCAACGCTATAGGAGTCAGTTGAGAGCTCAGCTGTGGAGTGTTAACCAGCTGACAACAGAAGCTAAGATTCGTCACCAGAAAACGTCTAGTGAAGACACTGCAGTGGACTAACCATTGCAGAGAGCACTTACCAAGTAAAGACTAGTGTAAGTTACTTGAAAAGACTTAGTGCGGAGTGATTCGTAGTGTGGAAATCAGCAATAATATAATAATTATTCGTAGTTACTACTTGTAAGTGGTCAATAATTCTATACACCAATCCAAATCTATAGTCAGTAATACACGTGACGATGTCTAAAGACTACTTTATTTCAGAAGGACCAGCAGGCCAAAGAGCACAGTGTGTGAAGAAGGAAACGGGGTTCTGTCTAGTGTAACGCTTGCTGAGAAGCTTACCTGTGTAGGCGTGAGGTGGATGAGACTGGCAAGATGCTCCCTCTCGGGGGCCGACAGGTACTTCTGTTGCTTGAACCTCCGCTCCAGCTCGTACACCTGCGCAGTTCAACACACGTGAGAACGTGACAGCAGGTACAGAAATTCCCTGCTATTTATGTAACTCGAAGCTTCATCATGGTGTTTACAAAATTCAGCGACTGGATCCTATTCTCAATCAATTTACTACATGCAGGAATTTAGGTCCTCATAGCGGTGGTTATATCTTCTTGGATATAACGCTTGCTACCCGCTTCATGCTGGTTTCTTGCTTGGCTTATTCTTCGATCCTGAAAATGGAGGCGATATTTTGCTCCGAAACATCAGTTGACTTTCAATAGACTACAAGGCATTATATCGTAAAAGGTAGAACTCTTCACTCTAATTTAGTTAAAACTTTCACACATGATTCATGAAAGAATTGGTCTTTAATATTATCTTACGTGCTTACAGCTCTAACTTGAGCTTTTCACGGAGGTTTTCCACTCAAACTGTAGTAGACGGATGCATGTGTCATTTCCCAAATTCGCGCTACATTTCCATCTTATCTTTCTCTTTTCAATTATCTTCATAAAGTGATATGCGAAAAGTTCCTCAGCAATTTCTTCATAAACACACCAATCTCATGTCTTTTTAAAATTAAAATCACGAAGAAAATTATTTAGGCATAAAAGAAAGGGTTAAACCGATCACAGTGGTCCCGCGGTCTAAGGTATGAACCGTGTGTTCGAATTCCTCTCGAGTCATGGATATCTGTGTGCGATTGTTCTGTATTGTGTTGTTCTGTGTGTAGGTAGCAGCCTTGCGACAGGGTCCAAAGAGTCCTACCGACTGTGTGTGGATTAAGAAACTGAAAAATCGGCCAAGGTCCACAGGGGCTATAAAGCCACAGATAGTAGATAGATAGATTTGTATTCAAGAGATACTCTATTTAATTCCAGATCAGGGTTTCGCCTGCTGTTGCTTCGCTCGGTAGCGAGTGTCACGGCTGTTCTTTCGAGTATTCTGTTGCTGCTTCCTTCCAAACCCATTCCTGATTATCTTCCCTTCTCTTTCAACGTTATATAGATTCTGCAGTTGAAACAGAATCGTTAAATAAGATAATGTTCAATACATTTCAGAAGAAGCGGTTGCGATTTGTTTTAAGGAAACTCCACCGCTCGACATCCCGCGTGCTAAGCGCTTGACAGGCTCCTTCGGCGTCTATTAAAGTGATATTAATATTCGAAAAGGTCGCCCCATAGCTCAAGCGGTTAGTCGCTGGCTTCCCACAGCGGCGGCCCGGGTTCGATCCCGGGTCTGGTCAAGTGGGATTTGTGGTGGACAAAGTGGCGCTGGGGCAGGTTTTCTCCGAGTACTTCGGTTTCCCCAGCCAATCTTCATTCCACCAATTGCTCCACAATCACCCTCACCTAACATCTGGGACTGGTACAATAAGCCAGAAGTGGCCGCAGTACAAGGGACTTAATCCCACCCCACCAGCAATAAAAAAAATATTAGAAAATATCCAGTTATGACGAAGCACTGTGGTGTTAATATTTCCAGTAGAAGATGAACTAAGGCCCATGGTTTCACTTTCTCTTACACTAAAAGTTACTTTTTTAGTTTTACTGAAGGTCAGTAAGGAATTATTGGCCTTGCTCGGAGTTGCATTTGACTTTATACATTTTGACATGAGGGCTGAAAGCCTGGATATTTTAATAACTAAGCAGTCAGTTGCTGGGCGACGACTGGTAAGCATGTTTCCACATCAACCAAAACACGCTACCTAGGTAACGGATACACATGCAACAATAGAAGAAATATTACAAGCATTGTTTTTTATGTGGTCCGTGCTGAGATAATATAACGAGGCCACCAGCTGAGTCAGAAGGGAGAATCCCGTGTGGAGGCGAGGTCGAATACCTACACCGTAGCCCTGCAAGTCGTAGGAGGCGAACCCAGTGCCTGGAGGTTTAACTTGGCCTCTCTGTTCCTGGGGAATACAAATACAGGGACGTGGCCCTCCAGGTTGGATGAGTCTCGAAACCGAGACAGCAAAATATGGTTATGAGTCCGCGGTACTCTGGCCCTAGAATGAATGCGCTCGCGAGGGCCACCATCAATTATAAACGGCAGGGGTCTGAGAGGGCGCCTCACATCAACAAATTCGCCGCTGTCCGACAGTAACAAAAACCTGGTCTTGAGCCCAAGATAGGAGCTTAAAACCAAGATAGACTGGCCAACTGTTCGTCGGTCGTAGCATAACTTTGACTTTGACTTTGGCTTTATCAGAGTTAGTCCATTCTTGTGAATGGCGAGTTGAGGAACAGTTATGAGACAGAAGCCAGCTAGCAACGACTTCAGCACGTAAGCAAGAGGACATTGTTGGGACCCGTTACGAGGCAATACCTAATGAAGACATAGGAGAATTAATTATTGTTGCAGCGAATTATAGAGTAGCTATGAGTGGTCAGTAAATCTAATTATCAAACCAAACTCCGTGTGTAATCACTAAACACGTAAAAATATACATAACGTACGTTTGTATTTAAAAAAAAAGCGCTTTGTTATGGTGCCCCTCCCCTCGTAATGATCTCCAGACATTTCTGTGTGTAAATATGGTCTAAAATCTTTACATCGTGCATTCACTTCAGTGTGCACACGTTTTACAAACAAACCACCTGATTTTTCCATACTTCTTGAGAAATAAATAGCTTGGCATAGGCAGCGAATTGATTTGGCTTAACGGTAAGGCACTCGACTTGCTCTACAGCGGTGCTCGGCTAGAATATCGACCGTGATATCAGCTATCTTGACTGAGCCTGTGACTGTTTTCTTCCGTATTTCCAGAAAATTGTTGGGATAATATCTCTAGTAAACCACGAACTTTTTCTTCCAAATCATTTCCAAATTGCATTTATCTGTCATCTATCCATTCAACGCTATAAATATCCACACCGCAATAGACCAATTATTGAGTGTCTTGACACTATCCATCAGCTATTTCTATTTAAAACACAGTGTTTCGGAGACTTGCCTCTTTTCTGTATTCTTATCCTTTATGCCTCCTCTGGTTTAATATTTAATTATTATTTGAATTGTTTTCTCCAGCAATTTGCTTTATTGCTATTGTCAAGCTCTGTAATAATGAATTATTATTATTATTATTTTAAATCAAACTTCACCAATCTCATCATGGTTTTATTAAATAAAGACTACTGCAACCAATTCACTTAGTTAAATTCAATCACAGTTTCTGTCAGTTCACAATTCAGTTCAATTTATTTTGACCTCAGACAAGCCTTTCACAAAATCCCTCATACTTTTGCTCATTTTTAGACGCTCTGATCATTATATTAATTGGTCACAAAGTTTTTTATTACTTAGATTTTCTGATGTTCGCACCTTGGAAAATGCTTCCTCACCTTTTCCCTTGCTGCCATGAGTGCCACAAGGCTCCACCTTCGGACCTGTATTGTTCAATATTTTTATTAATTATTTACGCTCCAATTTTTTTTTTAATTTCTGTTCTCTGATGATTTAAAAATATTTCCTGCCATAAAATCTGTTGAGGAATTGTAAATTATTACCATCAGATATAGATTTTATACAGGAGTGGTGTATTGGGAATTATGTGAAACCCAATATATTCAAAATAAATATGATTTCCTTTACTCGTGGAACTAACATTATCAATTTTAATTATTTTTGAGTGACCTATAAATCGCACGAACTGTGTAAAATATCTTGGAGTTATGTTTGATAGAAAACTACATTACCACCGTCATGTTGACAACTTACATTACCAGGCACTAAAGCTGTTAGAACTAATTCATTTCATCACATATAATTCTTCTTTTTGGATTGTATCAAAATTTTTATACTCGTATATTACCTTAATTCTGTCAAAATTTGAGTACGCATGTGTAGGCTGGAATGAACTTACTTTGGCAGATTCTAAGAAGCTGGAAACTTAATACAAAAAGTTTGGAAATTTATGCTATAATCGATATATCCAGCCCAATAAGTGTTGAGTTATTTACATTTTAAAACACTTTATTTCTTAATAAAACAAAAGTTGCCGTTCTTCTATTACGGACACTGCTGGTCTCCGTGTACCCACTCAGCAAATTGGAGACTTCTCTACCTTTAACACCAATAATGTCTCAAGACTCACCCTTCAACAGGGTGCGTCGCGGGTGTAAACAACATCTACAAATCCTTAGATGTTTTCAATAAACATACAATCTCCTTTGAGAATACAGTTTCCTTTGCTTAATCCTACTGAGTTACGTCATTAACATATTAGCTGTATTATTTTATTGCCTAGTATCAAATTTTAGTCTATTTCTACCTTTATCCTAAGGTTTCTAGATTTGTTATGCCAACTTTCAGTGCTCTCCTGTTGATTGAGGCCCTATGCTACAAGCCGAAAATTCTCGTGTTCTATTCCTGATGAGGTCGCTGTATTCTTAAATGACCTAATCCTTCAAGCCGCACTAAGACTCTGGGGTCGACTCAGCCTCTAACAGAAATGAATACCACGAATCTTCCTGGGGGTAAAGGGCGACAGGCGCGTAAGGCTGGGAACCTCACAGTCATCTGTGAGCAGATTATCTGGAAAATGTGGAAGCCTCCACGTCTAAAAATCTTATGGGCCTCCACGGCCTGTTACAGGGATATATTTTTTGCTATTATGATAATGTAGATAACATAAAGAAAAACACACAGACTTTAATTGACGCAAGTAAAGAGGTTGGTCTAGAAGTAAATACAGAGAAAACTAAGTATATGTTGCTGTCTCGTCACCAAAATTCAGGGCAAAATCATGACATAAAAAGAGGAAACAGATGTTTTCAAAATGTGGCATAGTTCAGATATTTGGGAACAACGATAACAGATCGAAACCTGATTCAGGAGGAAATTAAGAGATGATTGAACTCGGGTAATGCTTGCTACCATTCAGTCCAGAACCTTTTGTCGTCTCGTCTGCTGTCCAAAGACATAAAAATTAGAATATAAAAAATTATAATTTTGCCTGTGGTTCTGTATGGGTGTGAAACTTGGTCTCTTGACGT